TTTCGCTTGCCTCTCATCTCCTTTTTCGCACTTAATTAAATTTTCCCTTCTCCAGTTTAGGTTTTTCCCTCTCGTCCCCTCGTGCTGGGGCAGTTCCCCTCAGAAACGGTGTTTACCTTGTCAAGGAAGCTCTTGATTGGGTAGATGCTCGCCTCGATAGATGGGTGGTAGACTCGGTAGATGAGGGCGGTAGACTCGATATGTGTGGGCGGAGAAACGCCCACAGATGGGTGAGGGGAAATGAGAGAAAGTTAGAAAAGGAATTAAAGAACTTTTTAAAAGGTGTTGAAGAACAGGGTAGAACACGCTAACGAGGAGAACAGTAGGTAGAAGTAGAAACGTAGAGGTAGACGGTGAATAGACAGATAAAACACAGGGTTAAGAATTAGACAGATGGAGATGGATAGACAAGAACCAATAATGACAGGAAAATACAAAAAAGAGGACAGACGCGGAGGACAACCAGGAAGCTCTATGAGAAAGAGGGAAGAGGGGGAGACAGGAGAAGAGGATGAGAAAGAGGGGAGACAGGAGGAGAAGGCGAGGAGGGGGGGGTTCGGGAAAGCAGAAATAAGAGGGAATAAAAGGAAAAGCAAAAAAAATTAATTTATGGAATGGGAGGTATAGGAGGAAAAGCCGGGTAACAATAGAAGGGAAAGGGGGAAAAGAGAAGGTGCAGGAAAAGAGGGAAAAGAGAAGGTGCAGGAAAAGAGGGGAGGGAGGGAGGGGAAACCACCGATGAAGAGAAAAGGGGAAAGAAGAGATTTTACTGCTGTTTTGTTGATTGGATGGCCTTGTGAGCCAGGGGGGGGGGGGTGGTGGTAGTTGATGGGGGGTAGTTGAGGGTGGGGGGTAGTTGATGTGTGGGAGTAATTGATCACGTAGGTACATGTGTATGTGTATTTACTATTTGTATCTGCAGGATCGAGCTTTTAGCTCTTGGACCCCGCCTTTCTAATCTATTTTCCTCTATTGTATCTACTTCATATATATTTCTAACACACACACACGCAGAGGAAGCAGCCCGTAGCAGCTGTCTTAACTCCCAGGTACCTATTTATTGCTAGGTGAACAGGACCATCAGGGTGAAAGAAACTCTGCCCTTTTGTTTCCGCCGGGGATCGAACCCGGGCCATTAGGACTACGCCCCCCCCCCCCCTCGAGCGCTGTCCACTCAGCCGCGAGGCCCCCAACCCTGTGTACTCACCTAGTTGTGCGTGTATTGGGTGCATAGAGGGGGGGGGGGGGGGGGTAATTAGCCAACAGGCGAGAACTAACGATCAACAAGCAGGCTTAACGAGCTCTAACTGTCAGTATACCGTCACACCAACTAATCCTCATGTAATTAACTACCGTAAATCGCGCCATGAACAGCGAAATGATTAACGGAAAAATATGCCGGGTTAATTACACCCAAAATAAATACCTATATAAATATCTCTGGGCACAATATAATGGGAATTATGGGGCACCCTAAATTAGTCTGCAGTGATCCTTTCGGGATGACGCGCTGAAAATGGCACATTTCAGCGCGGCATTTTATCATTTATTTCAATTAGTATTATGGCGTAGTTGATTGAGTACTAAATGGGATAACTGGCCGTGCCTGGATCTATCCAGGATAACTGGCCGTGCCTGGATCTATCCAGGATAACTGGCCGTGCCTGGATCTATCCAGGATAACTGGCCGTGCCTGGATCTATCCAGGATAACTGGCCGTGCCTGGATCTATCCAGGATAACTGGCCGTGCCTGGATCTATCCACCCCCCCCCCTCTCTCTCTGTTTGTCTATCTACCTCTATCTTCCACTTCCGTCTCCGCTTCACCTTTCTCTCCTCACTCCCTCTCTATTTCTTTCTCTCTCTTCCCTTCTATTCCTTTTCCCCCTCACTCTGTTCCTCTCCCCCCCCCTCCCCCTCTATCTCCCCCTTTCTCTCTCTCTCCTCTTTTTCTCCTCTCCTCTTTGTCTCCCTCTGTCTCTGTCACAGAAAATCCAACATTATCAGTAGCTTAAAACTATCAAAACTCTACGGGAAAACAAATGCTCGATTTCAGATTTCATAAAAATCGCGCTGGGGGAAGGAAGGTGGTGGGGGGGGGGGGGGGATGTTGGAGGCGATATTTATCAAACGTGAGAAGGAGGGGGGGGGGAGGAGATAGCATGGCCGACGTCGACCAGTCCATGACAGTCACACACCCCCAAGTTATCACCGTGAAAAGTTGGCTGAGACTAGCCCCTAGCGTCTGGCCTCCATCCCTACACACAGAGACACTCTTATGTACGGATGTGATAAAGGGGCTTCTCAGTGGGTCCTCAAGGGGGGAGGGGGTCTTCAGGGGATGTCCTCAGGTCCACAAGGGGGGGCCGGGGGGGCTGGTTAAATTGGTGTTCAGGAGGGGGGGTGATTAATTAGGGGGGGAATATTAATCTGTAAAATCCATGACTGGTCCGGTTGAGGGCTGATAAGACCAGGGGTCTTGTCCCTCGGTCCCATCTCCTGATGATGGGGGAGGGGGCGGTGATGGGGCGGGGGGGGGGGGAGGTGATGGGGGCGGCAGGGGAGGTTTAGGGGGGATGTGTATGGTAGGTCAGAACAAGGCAGAGTATATCGAAACCTACACACACACACACACACACACACACACACACACACACACACACACACACACACACACACACACACACACACACACACACACACACACACACAGTTAACGGATGGAATGCACTAGGCAGTGATGTGGTGGAGGCTGACTCTATACACAGTTTTAAATGTAGATATGATAGAGCCCAATAGGCTCAGGAATCTGTACACCAGTTGATTGACAGTTGAGAGGCGGGACCAGAGAGCCAAAGCTCAACCCCCGTAAGCACAAATAGGTGAGCACAAATAGGTGAGTACACACACACACCCCGGGTCAGCAAGGCGGACAGTCCGCCTGCTGTAATAACTCACTATATTTCCCATTTCTAAACTTTTTCCCCATCCGTCTTCCCAGCCTCCCCGCCCCCCTCTCCACGAGGAAGGGGTCCTTTAGGTTAGACCAGAACTGGTCTTGGAAGGCACGACATGAGGGAGCAAGGATAGAAGCATTGTGCACTCAATTTTAGCTCTTGAGGTCTCGCCACATCTTCCTATCCCCCTCCCTCCCTCTCCTTCACTTCTCCCTCGACCCCTCCTACGCTCTCTCACACCTGCAGAGAGGGGTGGAGGATCATTCCGTTGTTGTTGTGTAAGATTCAGCTACTCGGAACAACACGTTCCAAGTAGCACGGGCTATGGTGAGCCCGTAGTGGACTTACCTGGCACAGGAGCGGGGCAAGTAGCACGGGCTATGGTGAGCCCGTAGTGGACTTACCTGGCACAGGAGCGGGGCAAGTAGCACGGGCTATGGTGAGCCCGTAGTGGACTTACCTGGCACAGGAACGGGGCTGTCAGTGAGAATCATTCCATACTGACATCCTTATATACCGCCACGAGTGTGGCCGGAGCCCCAGTCAGCATCGAGTGTGTGTGTCGTGATCTATCAGCTTGTTCCCCTCAGTGTGAATGGGAAGGGATGAACCAGGGAATGAGAAAACAAAACATTGTAGATGTGCGTGAGAGAGAATTGCGAGGCCGCTGTTGACGTGGAAAGAAAACGCGAGAGAGAGAGAGAGAGGGGGAGAGAGGGAGAGAGAGAGAGAGAGGGGGGGAGAGAGAGAGAGAGAGAGAGAGAGAGTGAGAGAGAGAGAGCATAAGTAGAAGGAACAAGTCATATTACATCAGAAACCTAAAAAAAAATCGGAAACTGCCTACGGCCTATTCTGGCAAGGCCTATTTCAATGCACTCAAACTCAAGTGTGTGTGTGATGGAGACCCAGAGGGGAAGGCTCATCAAGGAACCGTAAGTCTATCCATAACACACAAACACAAACTTGAGACTTGCCTATATTAAGTTCACCCTCAACTTACTATTTCTCCACTTTCCAAAGTCAACTCAAAACTTGGCTTCGCTTCAAACAACAACAACAACAACAACGAAAAAATACACTTCAAACACTCTAAATATTTAAAATAAAACAATTGTTTTCCCCCAAAACAAACTGAAACATATGTATTATTGACTTGAGTGGAGATGATGAGGAGAAAGACGGTAGTGGCCACGATGCTGGTGGCCTCAGGGAGGACGGGTGGGCTCTCTGGGGCCATAGTGGTGCCAGAGTAATGGTGCCACGGTGTCAGGACGGGGAAAGTGGCACTGGAAGGTAAGTTATGGGACTGGGATGAGAGTGCCAACACTGTGAAGATGGTGGTGACTCTCCGCTTGTCGGCAGGAGTCTGTTGAAGGGTCTAGGGGCTGAACTTGGGGTCTGGGTGTGTGTCCTGGGGTCTGGGTGTGCGTCTGGGGTCTGGGTGTGCGTCCTGGGGTCTAGGGGTCAGGTCCTGGGGGTCTAGGGGTCAGGTCCTGGGGGTCTAGGGGTCTGGTCCTGGGGGTCTAGGGGTCTGGTCCTGGGGTCTAGGGGTCAGGTCCTGGGGGTCTAGACGCCAGGTCCTGGGGTCTAGGGGTCAGGTCCTGGGGTCTGGGTGTGCGTCCTGGGCTCTAGGGATCAGGTCCTGGGGGTCTAGGGGTCAGGTCCTGGGGGTCTAGGGATCAGGTCCTGGGGGTCTAGGGGTCTGGTCCTGGGGTCTAGGGGTCTGGTCCTGGGGTCTAGGGGTCAGGTCCTGGGGGTCTAGACGCCAGGTCCTGGGGTCGTGCTTTGAAATATAAACATTCCCTTTTCTTCCTCTCGTCTGTTAATAGTCCAAAAACATCTCTGTGAACTACATCTTTGTCTTGGGTGCAAGATAATGTTTAGCCACGCTCCCTGAGACGCCTGATGCAGCGTTCCTCCCTGGTGATAACGGTACATAGTGACTCTTATTAACTTCCGAGAACTCGCCATCAAGGCAGCTGGAACACTGGTCTGGTTGGTCTGGAACGATGTTGTGGTCGTTGGGATGGAACGAAGGGATGGAACGAAGGGATGGGACGAAGGGATGGAACGAAGGGATGGAACGAAGGGATGGAACGAAGGGATGGAACGAAGGTAACGTCAATGGTCTGGAACAAATCCTTGCTGGGCTAGGAAATGAAACTAAAGACCGTCATTGTTCAGGAGGGGAGACTCGCTCATTTTTTACCTTTTTTCATAGGTCATAGAAAATGGTCATTCTATGGTCATAGAACACCTTGTCCTCATATCCCAGCTCCTTGTCCTCATACCCCAGCTCCTTGTCCTCATATCCCAGCTCCTTGTCCTCATATCCCAGCTCCTTGTCCTCATACCCCAGCTCCTTGTCCTCATATCCCAACTCCTTGTCCTCGTATCCCAACTCCTTGTCCTCGTATCCCAGCTCCTTGTCCTTATATCCCAGCTCCTTGTCCTCATATCCCAGCTCCTTGTCCTCGTATCCCAACTCCTTGTCCTCGTATCCCAGCTCCTTGTCCTTATATCCCAGCTCCTTGTCCTCGTATCCCAGCTCCTTGTCCTTATATCCCAGCTCCTTGTCCTCATATCCCAGCTCCTTGTCCTCCTACCCCAACTCCATATCCGCTAACCCCTTCCAAGTGCTATACAGTTATTCCGGCTCAGCGCGCGCTCTCTCACTTTCCTTTCCTCAGGATTATCATCTCCCTACCCTTCCACCCTTCCTTCCTCTTCCACGCCTCTTCTCCCTTTCCACCTCTCCTCCCTAGGCCATTATTTCCCCCTTTCTCCAGATCCTCCCGGTAGCCGCTGAGAGAAAAATCAAAATAGACGGCCACCACTGCTGCGATTTCTGCTCCTAAGATGCTGCTCCTTGGGAAGGGGAAGGGGTGGTGGGGGTAGGGAGGGGTTTAGGGGGGGGGAGGGTGGTGGGGTAGTAGGGAGGAGGGAAGGGGAGGGGGGAGAGATGTGAGGCGTTTCGTTCCGGTGACAAATGGTGCCAATTTTGTCGTAATGTTCTAAGTATCGATTTCGGGTCTGGCGGGGAACTGACAAGAAGTGGTCTTAGTGTGGAGATTGTGGATGGGGGGAGATGGGGAAGTTGGGGGAATGGGGGAAGAGGTGGGGATGGGGAGGGGAGGATTGAGAGTTGGGGAGCAGAGGGAGGAGATTGGGGGTGGTAGGAGTCTTTAGGTGTGTGTACTGGTCGAGTTTGTCACTTTCCCTTAGAATCTTGTATGTCGTTATCATGTCCCTCACCTCTTTCTCTTTCTCTCTCTCTCTCTCTCTCTTTGGACAGGAAAACATTCCCCGGCACCTGAAGTTCTGTTTCAATCCCCGTAAAGAATGCTTTCACTCTTAACACACTAGATCATTCCACTTCCACTACCCCTGACACTGAAGAACTTCATTCTAATATCCCAGTAAATTTCACGGAGTATTTTGTATATAGTGATCATATCTTTGCTTCTTGATGTTAAATTTAGTTGATTTCCTAGTAATTCATGCCTCTCAGCTGTGGGGCTAATGTAGATAAGGTCACATGTGCCGGGGATCTGGCACATGTGGTATACAGTCACATATGTCGGGTTGCCTTGCACATGTGATCCTAATAATATGGACAGGCTTAAGAGGTAACTTTGAGCAGATCGTCTTGTAGAATATAGAGCTCTCTAGGGCTCTGTTGGGCTCTAGTCGGGCTCTTTTGGGCTCTCTCGCGAGCCCGACACCCTACAAACCAAAGATACACCCCCTTCCCTGGTCATTAGTTTGGATTGGTAGTTAAACATTCTCTAAGTAATTATATAGTATAACTGGCGATGGTGCCTTTATAAGCTGCCCAAGTATACCCCTCGTATACCAGCATAGGGGGTATAGTATACCCCTACGCTGGTATACCCCTGGGAGGAGGGGGGGATAGGGGGGGCTGTGAACCTCAGATCGTCGGCTGATTCGTCCATATATTAGACAACCGCGATGCTCTTTCAATATTCACTTTCATCTTCAAAAATGAATGCTCCGTATTCTACAGGAGTTGTGTGGGGCCCTTGTTCATTCTTAGCTAGTTACCTCACTCCCTCATGTAGCAGGTCTCATTTTTCTCATATGGCCTTCATTGCTCACTCACACCTCCCTGCCTCATATTAGGTAGAGAGAGGCTTCCCTGGTAACTCTCTACCTCACTCTGCCGGGGGAGAGACTTCCCTCACACCTCACTCTGCCGGGAGAGGCTTCCCTCACAATGTCTCACTCGTTTTGATGGGTGAGAAATAAACGCCAATTTATTGTTTATTTTGGTTGAAAGATGGTGTTGTATATTGTATTGCTGTATTCTGCAGACACAAATGGTAAACACACACACACACACACACACACACACACACACACACACACAGTGTAAATCCCTCTATTCATCAATATCTTAAAATCATTGAAGGTTGAAGCTGTCTTCTTGAACAGCGTGTGTGTGTGTGGGGGGGGGGGGGGGTGCATAGTGAATGAAGTGAATGAAGGGAGTGAGTGAAGGGTGCGTGAAGGAACACTTAATGTCATTCCCAGCATCGTTGGGGTGACTAAAGCACGTCGCTAACCACATTAAAAAAAAAAAAAAGGCAAACAATTACGATATTATGTTAAAATGTGTCGAAATCTACTGTGTTAAATTTTCATTTTGAACGACATATGTCGCCATATCACATAACACACATAGAAATCTGCAATGAATGAATTCCGTTTTTTCTCATTTTTAATAAAATGGTCCGTTTTGGAGCGGTTGTAAATTATTTGTTGTATGAATATATTTGATTTGGATTTTTCGTGCTGATTTTTTTTTTCTTTTTTATAGAGTCGAACGCGGATAGATCGCCATTTTCTATATTACCTGAAAACTTTGTGAAGTTGCACACTACTCCAAGCTCTCCTCTTACATAGAACGTCGTATTTTGCTCGTATGCGTTACAAAAGGCCAAAAATTGTCCTAGAAAATGGAAGCAGCTGGCGAAAGTGACGTACTGTCCCGTTTTCTGTTTTGGGTCCTCTGGTAGGTTAGGAGAGACTACTTTAAATTGACAGTGTGCCTATCCCATTCACCTGGGCTGTAGGAGACTTGAACTGTGGACCCCCACGTGTGTGCTATTGAGTAGTCTTAATAAGAGAATGACCTCTCCAGGGCGCAAAGCCTGGGTAGGTTGATACAGAGAAGGAGAGAAGCTGTTACCCATGCAGCAGGTCATAGTGTGCCTATAATGTATCTATAGTATGCCTATAACCACTTGAACCAAATATATATTCGTTCTCTTCTCCCCCGACGTTGCAGGTTCAGTTGACGATCCGGACGCTACCAGAACTACCAACAGGCGCCAAATACCAGTGCGTGTGGGGGTCAGCGCCCCCTGCGGACGCCCTGGTGACGGCCTCGGGGCTCACCTGCATCACGCCCGCACGCCCACACCGCCCATCCATCCCCATCCACCACGACCACGTCCTCGTGCCGCTGGCCGTCCGCTCCAGCGAGACCAACAAGGACTTCGTCTCCCGCAACTTCGCCTTCTACGACTGCGGCCGCCACAGCACCTGCAGCAGCTGCGTCCGCAGCAACTGGGCGTGCAACTGGTGCGTGTACGAGAACACCTGCACGCACAACGCCTCCTCCTGCAGGAGAACCGTTATCTCCGGTGAGAATGTGAGTATAACAGCGCCTCTTTTAGTTATATTTTCGTTATGAGGCGCGGCATTCCGTCAGTGGTATAGGAGATAGCAGCATCCATGATAACTGTCTGGGGATGATAGCGGAGGGACGGATAGAGGGGTGGTCACTGCCTGACTATGATAGCAGTGAAAGGGGGGGGGGAAGGGACACAACTAGCTATAACAGCGTTTAACAGTCAACATTTCTACCCCTCAATAAATAAATAAAACTACCCTAATTGCCGTTTAAAAAACTTGAAAAAAATATATTCAGATCTCTGACCACATTAGTCCTAATCACCTGGAGTATGATGACAGCGGAGGTGGGCCTCGTTAACGGATTGTTTGTATAATGAGTGTTATAACTTCCCTTAAATGATCATTATACCAGTGGCAAACTGTCAAGGTCAAAATATGGTTCGGGAAATGCTGCTTCCGAGCGCCGTCTGTCAATACTGTCAATACTGTTAATGCTGCTAATGCTGTCAATGCTGCTAATGCTGTCAATCATAAACTGTAACTGAATCACTGAATGGTTGTTTGAGTGGATATACACTCAACTGGTCTGTAAACAAGTACAGAACGCAGCCAGCCACTACAGTCAGTTTGTCTGTAAACACCTGTCAGTAAAAGCTGCATCTTTGTCTTTCATTTGAATTGCTTATTTACATCTTTATTGACAAAATTAATTACAATTTTGCCTAATCTGAGGATTTTGATAGTCTTATTAAAGTGAGGATAATGCTGGTATTCACTGTCTCGCAGGACAGAGGGTCATACACAAGACAATAGGTCTAAACTGTTGAAGTGCTTTGCGTTATAGAGAATGGGTCGCAGTGGGCTTCGTGGGGGCCCCATCTTACTTCTATTGTGTCTGCTGAGTTGAGCTATCAGCTCTTGGGTCCCGACTTTCTAACACATTCATCTATTATGTGTGCTACATATATTTCTCTCTAACACACACACACACACAGATCCCAGGAAGCAGCTCATAGCAGCTGTCTAACTTCCAGGTACCTATTTACTGTTAGGTGAACAGGCGCATCAGGGTGGACAAAACTGCCCATCTGTTTCCGCTTCCACCGGGAATCGAACCCGGGCCATTAGGATTATGAATCCCTCAAGCGCTGTCTACTCAGCCGCGAGACCCCCTGTGTGTGTATTAATCTAGTTGTGCTTGCGGGGGTTGAGCTTTGGCTCTTTGGTCCCGCCTCTCAACAAGTATGACAGTGTGCGTGTGCGTGCGTGCGTGCGTGCGTGCGATAACTCCTCCACCACCACGTTGCTGTGATTTCATTGTCTATTCTGTAAATGTGTTGTTGCTCAGGCAAACAATCGAAGCACAGAGGAGTAATTGGCAC